AAAAAAAAAAAAAAAAAGTGAAAGGTAAAAGCCTTTTAAGCTTTGTGGAAGTCCCATATACCTTTTAACATTTATTTTAAAATTTCCTTTTGTCTTCAGTAATTGATTATTTTTTGTGCACTTTTTATACCTACGTCAAAATCACACATAGTTGAGTCTACTGTAGATACATCTTTTCTTTTTCTTCCTGCTTTTCCCTTTATTTCTCTCTTTTCCAGTTTTCTTTGCTAGATGTAAACCCTACTAAAATATGTCACCTGTTTCCAAAACTACAGTAGGGAAACTACTTAAGGCAGGGATTCTCAAACTCTGGGTCGCGACCGCTCTCCTTGGGTCTCATGAGCAACTTAAAAGGGGGTTGCAAACCTGTGCGCTGCTGGCGCTTCCATTTCTGCTGCTGGCACTTCCGCTTTTGCCGCCATGCGGGCACGCAGGGGACCCCCTGCTTATCGATCAGCCCCTGGGGGGGGGTCACAGTATCGCAAAGTTTGAGACCCCCTGACTTAAGGGAATGGGAGAAATGAGCAACTCAAAAATATTTTTAGGGATTGGTATTTGACAATTTAGGGTTTGTGATAACGCAGTTTGGTTTAGGGATTTGATGAGCACTACAGTGGTGGAATTTTGAACGCTGTGTAGCAAGCTGAAAAACATCACTTGCTAATATATTCTGCCTCCTTTTTCAAAATGATATGGCACAGTAATAGTTACTCTAATGATCGAGTCTATCATTTCTCTTTTCAACTGTTAAAACCCTCAAATTGTCAAGAGTTCCCCTTGATGCCTTTCAACAAAAGGACAACTACCATGCTGCTTCCATAAATCCACATGCAGGTCTATTTGCTAATCTTATTAAGCAAACTAAAGTTTCCAGCATCCTCCAACATAAATGTTAAATTATTGGATCTGGATTATATTCCTCTTCTGCTGACTTGCTGTGTCATCTTGGGGTAAGTTATTTAAATAGTTTTCCTGCAGATTAAAAGAGGGTTGTAACTACATACCTACCTCACAGGGTTGTTGTGAGGCATGATTTAAGTGCATTAGGAATGCTTAACTAGCATGCACTATAGAAGTACAAAATAATGTATTCTGGTGATGTACACCACATGAGTCTGGAAACAGTTGTATAATATACCCTTAATCTGTTTGCTTGGTGACTCATTTCAGAAGCTGATTTAGTTTAGAATAATATTCCTTTCTGATATACTTCAAGAATTTAAGTGCTTGGTAGTATCCTGAATGTTTCAATAGTACAGCATTAAACACATGAATGACATTTCGTGACTCTTTGTTTTTCAGAAGTTTCTGTTCCCTTATAGTGTCCCATGAGAGATGGGTCAATGGAAAATCTTTCTTTCTTGTTTTATGTTAAATTATATGCAAGTATTTAAAACATTCTCGATCAAGGGTATTATTCTTGAGTCCTTGGATTTCAGATCCTGCCACTGGAGGTGGAATCCTTGAACTTCTTAAGGGTCACTAGCCATATGGTCTTTGCCTCCAGTGGACCAGCTCCTGTCATACTGATCTCAGCTTGTTATCATTTTAAGCTCTTGTTCTTGGGGGGAGTTCAAAAGTTTGCCATAACAAGGTATTTTAAAAAAAACAGTCACAGAGTCCTTAAACACCCCGAAAAGTGAAAACTTGGTCATAGTACTTGGGAAGAGTATAAGAGTATCACACGGACATGCAGGGACAACTTAGCTGGATTAGCATTACTGCTTGGACATTTGGCGAGTAGAAATTTCTGCTCACATCTCCTTGAGGAAAACAAGACACTCAATG